ATTTAAGTTAAGGTAGGGTTAGGTTTAGGTTTAGGGTTAGGTTCAGGGTTAGGTTTAGGGTTAGGGTTAGGTTTAGGGTTAGGTTCAGGGCTAGGTTTAGGGTTAGGTTTAGGGTTAGGGTTAGGGTTAGCGTTAGGGTTAGCATTAGGTTTAGGTTTAGGGTTAGGTTTAGGGTTAGGTTTACAGCACGCTTCTGTCGCCGCGCTGTTGTTGGCATGATTCAGTGCTCATTCGTCGGCGTGGTTTAGAACTCGCGGTCAGGAGTGGCTATACTTGTATTCTTGGAGCATTGACAAAGCTTAAGGAAGTAGGCCTTCTCTGCTCTGGTACCCATCTTATAGAACATTCTCCCCTCTGAAGTGAGGGCAGATCCATCCCTTCTTACTTTCTGGACCCCATCAGGTCTGGTAGTCTTAGGGGACTGGTGACCTCTTGAGATACTATGTTGCTGATTGAATCTCTCTCTGTGTCTGTTTCAGTCTCTGTCTCTCTCCCTCTGTCCCTCTGTCTCTCTGTTTCTGTGTGTCTCTCTCTCTGTCTCTGTGTGTCCCTCTCTGTCTCTGTCTCTGTCTCTCTCTCCCTGTATTCAATATGACTATGTTTGAGATGTTTATTGTTTTAATAGGGATTTTTTTTTTGCACACAACAGCACAAGTCACTTCTTGTGAGATGAGCAGCCATATAAATTTGATAATTAAATGCAAGCAAGCAAGCTTAAGTCTTCCGCAACTCGGCTGCCATAATCCAGGCAACCAGTAGATGGCAACAAAAAGATGAGTCCCTGGATTTTTGTATCTTACACATGGCAGCCGTAAGGAAGCTACCCCAAGTCAGGATACAGATTATGATTGAACTGCTGCAACCTGAGTTAAAATACAGGGCAAGTTAACACGTCATACAAACCAGATAAGACAGCAAACAAGTATATTTGCAGACATTTGGAGAGGATGCTCCATGCTGGTATTATGTCTCTTACCATCTATCTCAGTGAGGTAAATAGAGGAAGGGTCTGAGACCAGGAGTGGCAGAGACACAGCTATGAAGACTAGGAGCAAGCAGGCCGTCTTGTAGTCCTCCTCAGGGGACGAGCTGTCTATCGGGGAGACAAAAAGGATGATGTACACCAAGAGATTTCAGAAATAGGTCTGATTTACGTTAGCAGTTTCCTTTCCTGCTCAGCTGCTCGGAAGGCTTGCTCTCCCCCTCCCCCCCCAAAAAAGGAGGGGGGAAAAGAAGGAAATGTGAATTAAAAAAATATATGATGGTTCTGACAGGCCCATAAATTAACTGATGGAAGGAGCTGGCTAGCTGAACAGAACTGACACTGCTCAGCTCCGCTTCAATCAACACGTGTGCATCATAAAGAAAGAAATGAAATGAAGGCACTACTAGAATAATGGGTGATGGGCTAGAGGAGAGGAGGAAAAAGACCCATAAGTTCTTTACATCTCATTAGTCTTCCTTAGACAGAGAGGGAGACCAATGTGCCTCTCTGGTGCAGATTATGCATTTGGAAGCATGTTTATTCAAGAGGAAAGAGAAAGCTGATTTGATTCAGTTCATAATATAAAATGAATATCAACATTGCCCTCTTCAGGCCCCACTAATCCTTGATAGGACACCATACTATACAAAGTGATGCCGGGGAAGCGTGAGGGGAAAAAGAGGCTGGGTTCACAGGCCCTGCCAAACTTTAATGTGGATTGTGCTTTTTGAGACTATATGTAAATCCACTCATTTGAAAACATCAGGGTTCCCCTCCCTCCCTTATTGCCTGTTCAACAAACCAGAGGTGGGTTCCTACCAGTTTGCACCTATTCGGTAGAACCGGTTCGTCAAATCTACCAAACCGGTTAGAAGAGGTTCCACCAGTGGACCCGGAAAGCAGGCCACACCTACAGAAGAGGTTCCACAATTTTTTGAAACCCACCACTGGTCCTTGGATATGATTATTCTACACTATCATGTGAGCCTTTTCAGT